ATTACTCAGATGAAGGAAAGTTTTTGGGGGAGTGGTATTTGTTTTGTACCTAAAAAACGATAGACTCTATTGAAAGAGGATGGGGTCAATGAGAAAGAAGGTGCAGGAGAGAAAGAGAGAATGAATTGACCATATTTGATCACTGAATAGAAAGAGAGGATTAAAAGAAGGGGAGAAGCAATGCAGATTTTAGAATTTCCAAACTCAGTAGTGAGGAAGTCATAGATGTGATGAAGACAAACACTGAGACAGGGTGTTTATTTATAAAAGAAAAGAGAGATTCATTTTTAGGAAACGTCTATTGAGATGACGAGGGGCATCCAGTTGGAGACTTTCGGCAGGTCATTTGAAATGAAGGTGAGTAGTTCTAGAGAGAGATTGGAGCTGGAAGATATAAATTAAGTATTATGCCCAAAGTGTTAAGAGTGAATCTGTGGATAAGATGGCCAAGAGGAAGACTAAAGAATTGGAATAGACAAGTTCTAAGATTAAACCTTGGGAGTTCAACATGTGGGGCTCGGTATCAGGAGACATAATGCCACAATGAACTGGTAGGCTGCTCCAGAAAAGGCAACCCTTTAATTCAAATGGTTTTCTGGGTGCACCAATAGATGCTCCAAAAGATATCCTAGAGCCCATCTCTACTTTACAAAATATTTCCCAGCCTAAAACCCCCTCTGAGAAACTTCCTGATCAAAAATTAACCTTCCACTCCACTTCACGAACAACAATCCAACTTTCTATCATTTTTAAACCTGTGGGCACACAGGTGTCATGATTATTCACACACATGTCCACCTCCCAAGCAACATCCCTACTTCATTAAACACTACTTCACCACGCTGGGAAAACAAAAGAAAGCTTTCCATTTTCTTCTGACTTCTCATTTCAGACACTGTGTTTCATGATCTCTGGTCTCAGATCACCATTAATAAAATACGACCAAACTTGAGAGGAGAAGAGGAGTAAGAGAAATTGGAAAGAACAACTAAAAATACCACTTTGTTCATGTTATTTTCTGAAAGATTTTTTCCATTTCTGTTACATACTCAGCATATGCAATGAGACAGGATCTTCTCTGTCTGTGAGTGATACTGTTTCCAGTTATGATTAACAAAAAATCCTAACTTTTCCTACCCTTCCACCCCACCAAGATTTTAAATTAACACCTACTTACCCACTGAGAAAATCAAGTTTATATCTAGCAGCTTATAAATTTACAACTAGGTCTATTCTGGGCTACAGTATGTTACCAACACTAAAATCTACAATCATTACTTTTCCCTAAGTTTCTATTGTCTAAAAAGCCTGTTGAAAAAATTTTTCACCTTTTCTGAAAGCTACAAAAAAAAAATGATGAGCTGCATAATGGGTCAGACATGCTCAAATACTATCATTTTAAGTTTAAATTTAAATTTTAAGTTAGAGAATTACTTTCCCTCCCTTCAGTTCACATATTTATAAAGTTATGTTCATGACTAGCATAATTAGATGTTTTATTTGAGGTTCTGAACAGGCCAGCCTCATGTAATGAGGCTGAACCTGTGAAGGAAGGAAGGGGGCTGCTGCACAACGAGGAAAAAGATGCTGTGCTAATCCAGAGGAACTGCTCCCAGTCAGAAATCACACAGAGGCAGCCTCAACCCCTAGAGAGCCCTTCCTAACAATGAGGGCTGCCCAGTCACAAAGGGGCTTCTGCACAAAATGGGGTATTCCCTGGATACTTAAAGAGTCTAGATTTTCAGAGGGGATTGTAAACCGGGCTGTTGACAAGGGGGATGAGCTGGGGAGACAAGAATTTGGCGAGAGGAGCTTCTCAGGAGCTTCCCATTCTGACCCCAAGATTCCTTGCCTATTAGAATGAAAAGTCTTTAAATTAAGGGTGTATCTTCCCCACACAACAGGAACAGGACCAGGACCTGGAGCAAGTCACTCTATTCCCAGATTGCTCAGCTCTAATGTGAGAGGTAGACTGGATGCTAAGACAGCCTCAGGTTCCAAGGATCTGTAGGCATCTGTAGACACAATTCACTGTCCTGGGTCTCTTACCTTTGCCAAAACCTATGGGGAAAAAATACAGAAGGGCACCTACTTAAGAAACCTCTGCTAGTGGGTCTGAACTAGTGGTATAAAGTTGAACTCAAAGTATAGCACAGATTCCACACCAGACAGCTCATGCCCAGGAGGCTCACAGGCTCCCCTCTCTATATTCACCATCACTAGCCCCTCAGTACCCAGGAAAACAGCATAGGAAGAGCAGCAACTAAACCGAAGTTGCCCAGGAAACATGAGTAAGTTCATAATGAATCAGTTAAAAGTGTCCCAAATATAGCATACCACAGCCACTGTGGGTACTCTCAGACTGTTTATAAACACGCAAGTATACATAAAAATATGAGTTGCACATTTGCAAATAGTTCCTTATTATAGTCATATTTCATATTTTGAGATATCTACTGTGCCATCGTGCAATCTCTAATTACAGTGGTGTTTCTCCAATGAATCCGACGTGAAAGTAGTGCCTGAAGGAAGTCTGGTGTTTCAAGAGCCAACTCTGATATCATGTTAGCTGTTTCCATGAGCTAAACCATAAAGCTTTACTCTTAGGATCTGATCTAAGGAATGTCAGCTCTTTCAAGAGCTTCATATTTTATTTAAAACATCATCAAAGTGTTATGCTGCACTAAAGAACAGAAACAAAACTTTTCATACTAAATCCAATAACAAGTATAAACATAATGGCTAAAGGTATACTAAGACATCAACTCAAATACACATGTTTTCCTGTGATTTCCTGGTGAAATACAAATTTTACATATACTTAGGTGGCAAATAATTACAAATGAACTCAAACATCTGCTTTTTTAAACAGAAAACAACTCTGGATAGAGAAATTATTGCTTTCACTATGAAGTCTTTAAACTAGGAGTTACTTTCTTTGGCGCACAATAGCTCTTCTCTCCCTGAGTGCTCAGGGGGGCTCTACCTAGTTTCCTCTGAAGCAGAGGTGAGAAGAAATGCTCTAAGCACACTTGAAATTATTTCATCCATACCTGTCAGCTCTTCTCCAGCAAAAGCTGCTGCCATGGAGACATGGCTTAGCTCAGCTTGTAGTTTGTTGTTTTTTTTTTAAAGAATCAAAATCTTAAGTTTTTCTTAAGATATATACCATATGAGGCTTTTTCCTTCATGCTACCCACAGAAGAGAAACATATCACTAGAAATTTTACTACTAAAATTCATGACAATAGTTGCTCTGTGTTTTAAAATCTTTAGGCTGTCAATATGCACATTCATATTTAAAACTAAGAGTTTTAAATTGACATTTGACATTTGACAACAGTTGTTTATTATATCTGTTATGCAGATTTTGAGACTTCTGCACTCTGATGTAATCCCTAATTACAGTGGTAATCTTCAAATGAAGTCCATGTCAGCCACAGTATCTTCAGGAAACCAAGTGAGTAAAGAAACTCTTGAAAATGCTTACAAACAAATCAAGATGAAGGAAAATGTAATTAATCATACTTTAAGTAATAACCAAGTAGGCCAAAATTTAGAACTGTAAAGGTACAAATGTTCCATATATCATTACTTCAAGCCAAGGAAAGCTAGAGAAAGAACAAGCTTGGAGAAAAGAAATGATTGGAAAGTAAAATAAATCTCATTCTTAATCTCTCTTCCACTCACCCCTCCTTATTAATACAAGTTGATTTCTCTACTACAATCCCTTTAAAAAAGCTCTTCACAGGAAAACCTCTAAAGATCTTCCTGGCCATCTGGCATGTACTTGCTAACTAACCTGGAAGATGCCATTGCCTCAGATCCAATAACAAATACTTTGAAGTTGAGGCTGAGATGGGGTCTTCTGAGACTCAAGGAATGGGGCAGCCTTGGCACTTTCTTTAGGGACAGCAACTGATATGACTTGCTCTGAGGCTACTAGTTCATACCTGAAAGTGCAGTTAATAACCCTATACAGTTTCAGGAAACAGGCCTGGAGTGGTATCATCTCAGCTAATGGGTACCTTCCTGGGCACAGACTTAAAGAAATTCAGCTCAGTTTTCCTTTTTTTTTTTAACATCAATTACTTAACTTTTATAAATTCAGTCAAAGATTGGATCCACCAATATGAAAGCAATACAAGTAATCACAGGCAGATGAAATAATTCTTAACTCTAAGATTTCATAGCTACTAGGTTTATTCAGCAATCAAAAAAGATAAACTCACGCCATTCGCAGCAACGTGGATGGAGCTAGAAGGAATTATGCTCAGTGAAATAAGCCAGAAGTAAAAAGAAAAATATCGGATGGTTTCACTTATAACAGGAATATAGGGGAACCAAATAAGACATCAGTGTAAAAAAATAATAATAACAGCACAAAACACAACAAAGCAAAAACAGACAATTATAAACCAGTGACATTCTGCAGGGGAGGAGGAGGGAGAGGGATCATAGTGGGGGAGGGAGGAGCACAGGGGACTGTGGTGATGGTACACAGGTGCCTTGGGGAAGGAAATTCTATGGAGACTCAATCTGAGGGGGTGGGGGGAAGCAAATATGGTCTAAAAAATGTAAAAAATTATAAATATTAAAATTTTAAAAAGTGAAAAAAAAGATTTCTACTAGGTTTAATAATAACACATTGTGGTAACACCTTTTTGTGATCTCTCATTGATTTCTTACCTAGAATCCTGGAATCAGTCCCAGGATAAGTTTATTTTCTAGATTTAAGAGAAATTTTAAAAGTCTTTTTTTCCCCAGGCACATTAACTTCCCATAACTGAGAAAATGATAGTGTCAAATATGCTTATTTTTCTTCAATAGATGATTTCTAGAAATCCCATCCATGGTAGACTGCAATTCTTAGTGCATCACAACAGAGCAAATGAAACACTACCGCTACTAATATGCTGACTGAAACTCTGCCTGTGGGTCATCTCCCTCCAGAAGAGCAGCCAGAAACACCCTACTGCCCGCCCATCCACTCCACTTACGATTCAGGCGGTTCTGCTCAGGTTGTGCGCTGTCCACAGACTGAGTGCTGGACACTGAGGACACACTGGAGCTCCGGACGAAGCCAAAGGCTGCCAGCTTGGCAGCTGGGAGACGTGAATATCCAGGAGGGCGAAGCCCAGATTTCGGTAGATTAGATTTTGCAGCATTTGAATTGGAGGCTTTCTTTAAATCTGCTAAAATGAGCCCAAACCAAAAAAAAAAAAAAAATTCTCAATTAATAGCAAGATAGAGGACGGCATCAATGGTAAATACTCACCCCAGTGAAGCCATTTACAACTTTCACCTGCAGCCGTTTTTACCATGAGTGCTTGTATGCACATCCTTCAGCAGTGTTCTTATGCTATAACTAGTCTACTGTATTATCTAATGAAAGATTAATCAGATGGCAGATTAAACATAATTTAAAAATGAATATTTGTAAAATATACAATGTCTAAAATTCGATAAAGATTCTACACACTACAAAGCACTTATGTATGGAAATACAGATGCCAGACTGAGTGTACAGTGTCCCTTTCTCTATCAGCAGTTCCCTCGAAGAGTGAGGCAGTGGCCAGTTGCAGGTAAAGGTAGAATGTACACAGATATGGTTCCCTGACCCCCCCCAGGTCAAGATTAGGAGGGGAAGGAATCAGATGAGTGTAGAGGGAACAGGGAGCTGATGCTGCAAATATTTCCAAATCAGGTCTGTCCTCAAACTTGAAAATAATGTTCAAACATTACAAAGGGAATAATCATTGTTTAACAAGCAGTAGTGATCAGGGTCTCCCCGTGGTACAGCGGTTGAGCGCTGGGTTGCGAAGCTGCCCGCAGCCTCTGCAGCGCCAATTGAATCCCCGGCCACAGGGCGAGGGTCCCACATGGCACGCAGATCTCTCCTGCCACCCTCTTCTCCTCTCAGCAGTGCTTTCGGTCTGTCTGCCTGATCTGCTCCCCGCTCTGTCTCTGGTGAATCCTCTTACCCTCCCATGCCTCTGGCCTATACCCCAGTTCTTATATAAACAAATAAATCTTTAAAAAAAATCTCTGGGAATTGTTCTAAGGGTAACTGCAAATAAACATTTGTATAAGAACATCTATGAAATCTCAATAAGAACCATGAGTCAGCAGTTTACTTAGAAAGTTTTATTTATAAATGCCTACATTAAAGATAAAGATGTCTAATTGACATAGCAACCTTCCAGTTAAGGACACTAAAGAAAAGCAAACAAAACTAAATTTAAAGAAGAAAGAAGAAAAAAAAAGAAAATAATAAAGATAAGAATGGAAATAAATGAAACAAAATAGAAAAACAACAGACAAAATCAAAGAACCCAAAAGTTGGTTATTTGAATGATTAACAAAGTTGACAAAGTTTTAATTAGACTGACCAAGAACAAAAGATAGAAGACTCAAATTATTAAATAAGGAACAAAAGAAGGGATATCTCTACTAGTCTTGTAGAAATAAAAAAATTCATACTATGAATAACTTCATCTCAAAAAATTAGGTAACCTAGTAAAATGGAGAAATTCCCAAATAATGAAAAACTATAAAAATTGACTCAAGAAGAAATAGAAAATATGAATACATTAATTTTAAAAAGGTTGAATTGGTAGTCCAAAAGTTCCCACAAAGAAAAGCCCAGGTTCAAATATCTTCACCAGCGACTTAAAGCAAGCATTTAAAGAAAAATTTACACCAGTTCTTCACAAATTATAGCCTTCCCTCCACCCAGGGAACATTTCCAAACTCATCCTATGAGCCAAATATTACCTTGATTTTACCAATATTGCCAAATAAATATACCAATAAATTACCAATAAATATTACCAAAACCAGATAAAAAATATCATGAAAGAGGAAAATTGACCAATACCTCTCGTAGATACAAAAGTCTCACCATAATATCACAAATTGAAATCAGTCACATTTGAAGAATTACATACCATGACCAAGTAAGATTTGATGCAACAATGAAAGAGTGGCTTTATATATGGAAATCAGTTACTACTACCTAGTCATAGAGTTTAAAAAAAACCTACATACTGTTTTCAGTAGATGCAAAAAATATCACTTGACAAAAGTTAGGATTAAAACTACTTAGCCAACTAAGAATAAAAGAAAGTATTCTCCACCTGATAAGAGCATCCAGAAAAAAACTCATAGCTAACAACACCATCAATGGAAAAAATTAATGCTTTCCCCAAAGATCATGACAAAGATCTCTGTTCTCACTACTTGTATTCAACATTTTATAAATGCATCAAGAATAGGCAATCAGGCAAGAAAATAATATATGTTATATGTATTTTTGGATGAAGACCAAATATATATAAGAAATATATTTTGGTCATCTGAATGACCACATATATATTTCTTATAAATCACAATATTGAAGTCATGAAAACTTTAATGTAAATGAAAGAAGCTAGAGACAAAAGGTCACGTATCATTCCATTATATGAAATATCCAAAATGGCAAGTCTAGAGAGACAGGAAGTAGGGTCTGCAGTTGGCAGGAAAAAATGAAGAGTGCCTGATAATGGGTAAAGGGTTTCTTTCTCTTTGGGATCATGTAAATGTTGTAAAATTGATTGTGGTGATGGCTGTATAATTCTGTGAATATACTAAAAACCATTGTAGTGCAACCATTAAATGAGTGAACTGTATATAGTTTCTAATTATATATCAATAAAGCTGTTATATTAAAATAAAAGTTTAAAAAAGAATTAGCAATTTGTCTTCAGTTTATTAACAGTTTACTATATGAAGACAGAGCAATGACTATTTCCCCAAGCTCTATCACATTTTCACTTTTAAAGGGCCCGTGTCAGACAGAGAACAGGGTCTGTCATTGTGTGTCTCCAACAAAAAATACTTCTAACAAGCAGGTGAAACAAATGTTTCATACAGCAGATCAAAGACTATTGCAAATAAATAAAATGATGATGGGAAATGACTTTCAATAACTTCAAAAATTAATAAGCATAAAAACCTCTAGGTTCAAATATTCAAGTCCTGTACAAATGAGTTAAAATGAACTCACTCTGATTTTTTACCAAGCCTTTATATTCTGGTATTATTTTGCAAAAAAATAATAATAAAAAAAATTCCTTTTTGAACAACAAAAGAGATTTTCTGCTATTGAATGTTTAAAATATGTATTGGTCTTACAAAGTAATGTAAATATTATTACAAAGCATTAATTTTTCTTTTGAAAGATAAATACTTATTTTGATGAAACTTGAAGAATTATATTTTTTCTTTTTTTTGTATTGATTCTCTTTTAAATATGACTCTACTGCTAGAAATATTTCAATCTAGAATCGGACTATTGTACTTTTAAGGTTCAATGATATAGAGATAAAGATCCATCCATCACTGTCCAATATATTCTTATATCCCAGGCAATAAAACAAAAACTTTAAGAAAATAAATGTATAATAATTCAATTTAATATGCATTCAAGGCACCAACCACTGGAAAAGCACTTCACAAGGTAATATGAGAAATTCACAAAAAAGCAAGAGTTGTCTCCAAGTGGAGTTTATAGCCTACTGGGGTAGAGGCACTAGTTCATTCGTAAGTAATCTAGCCTAAGTGAAAGAGGAGAGCAAAGCCAGAATGGAAGTGCAATCCATTGCTTTAGAAGAAAAGAACTAAATGTAGACAAAATCATCAAATAAAATGATTCAGAGTTTTTATTTAAGGTCCATTTTTTTCTTCATAATTTTACATTTGGTGTTTTATTTCTGTCTGGTATATTTATATGTACATAAAAACACACATATTTATATGCATAGTTATATGCTCTGGTATATTTTTATATATGAACCAAACTACTTTTTTTCAATCTTACTATAGATCTTCCTACTTTCTTTTAGAAATAATTTCTTCTGTCACAGGTATTTTGTAGATAAGTGGCTTGCCTTGTTCAAATGACTGAGAAACAATTTTTCTCGCACCTTGCTCAGGAACATGAACAAACAGCAAATGTTTTTGCCAAGCTTCCTTCATGCCGGGAAACAGTAAACAAATGTTTTAGTATTAAGGCATCAACTCCTCCAAAGGAGAAAAGAAGAACAAATTAAAGAAATGACAGTGGTATATTTCAGGATTGCACTGAAGATCTGGATTTAATGTAACTATTATCCAGTGTATAATCTCAGGCAATACTAAACTGTCGGAACCTCAATTTCCACACATAAAAATGAGGATTCAACCATCTACCCACATGATAGAAATCACATCTAAAGAGTTATTGTCTAGCATGGCATGTAATAAACACACAATAGATGATGACATTGCTGGTGTTGTCCTTAACACTACTGTTGCAGTTGCAGAAAGCACTCCCCATTAAAAGAAAAAGAAAACCAGAAAATAGCCATTATCCAAGATGACTCCTCAATGACCCTGAGCAGTGAATCAGAGCTGACCTGGGAGACCAATACTATGTCATAAAAGTGATAAACTATGACTTCTTAGTTGAGGTCTAATGAATATTGCTGATTCTCCTTGAGCTTTGGATTGTTCACTCAGGGAGAATCAGCTATGCCATCTGGATATTTAAGCAGCCCTGTGCCATGGTCCACACTGGAGTAGTCTCCTACCAACAATCAGCATCAACTAGTCAGCATATGAGTAATGGCTTCATCTTGGAAGTGGACCCTCCATCTTCGGTCAAACTGACAAGTAAAGATGACTGTAGACTTAATTGAACCTCACTTCAACCTCATCAGAGGGTCCCAGTCACTGTCATTTAGATAAGCTGTTTTAAATTCCTCACTCACAGAAACCATTAGGTGATAAATGATTACTGTAGTTTTAAGTGATGAGGCTTTAGGATGATTTGTTATTCAGCAACATATAACTAATACAGTTATTGGCACTTGGAAGAGGTGTTTTATCATAACAAGAACCTAATTATATATAATAGGAGTGACTTTGGAACCAAATAGACATGGAAGTTACAAGGAACTTGAAGAAAGCATTACTGAAAGCCTAAAGAACTTCAAGAGACTTTTAGCATAAGCCAATGAACCCTGAGGAAACAGTCAGTGGGGGCTAAAGGAAAGAGAGAAAACTGATGGGCAGAAAATTCTTGTTAGTACACGTTAGAAAGTTAGAAACAATGATAACTACTTTAATACGAAATGTAGGCCTTTACCTAACGATGTTAGGAATCCAGCTA